CCTTCCTGGGAGCACCGGCTGGCTCCTGTCTGATGTTTCTACCCCAGTGCCTGGCTTGGGAGAGGGGCAGTGATGCGGGAAGTTGCTTCCTACCACCCTTCCTCTTGCTGGACCCCTTCCAGGGGGGGCAGGGGGCTGCGGGGGAAGCGTGCTTTTCTTGAGGGGAGGGGGGCTTGTTGCCCAAGGGCTGGTGACTTCAACGCTGAACTGACTCAGCTCAAGAAGAGGGGGAGTGACAGATGGGGTGAGGGAGGGGGTTTAGTGGCTGCTGGTGGGGCTGAGAAGCAGGGCTGGTGTGCTGGGCAGAGCCGAGTAGCTGAGCGCAGTGGGCGTAAGGTGGGGCTGGTGACAGCCCCCTGCTGCAAGGGGTGGGGGGTGCAGGTCGAGGCACAGAGCCGGTGGTACTGGACATGGGGCACAGATCCAGGTGGGATGCCCCTGGTGTTGGGTGAGTGGATAGGACTGGCAAGGCTGCCTCTGACTTTGCCCTGGCAGGCTGGCCTAGGCCTGATGCTCTGGCAGCTCTGCCTGCTACTATTTATAGCCTGGCCCCTCTGCGTGGGGCACCCATGTATGATTAACGCAGGCAGCGGTGGCTTATTTTGGAGGTCTTGAGTTGTGGATGAGCTTCAAGTGGCTCTCAGCAGCATGGAGTCCCCTCACCAATGTCACCCACTATGTCCCCATATCTTCCAAGCCGGCATTTCCAGACCCCATGCCTCCTGTCCTGTTAACTGTCCCTATGGTGAATCTTGGCACTCTAGGGCTGCTGGTGTTGTATATTTGCATGCCGTGCCTCCCCAAGCCCTTTCCTATGACAAGATGGCATGTACCTGGCACTGTGCTGCCCCAGCCCCACTCCATGGCTGTCTGGTATGATGGGTAGACAGGTGCAGATGTGTGGTACACAACAGTTCTCTTGACTGTTGGTACAGCCTTTAAAGGAGGTGGCCAGAGCCAGTGCCCAGGTCATCCTTAGCCTTTCTGCAAGAACTAAATCTCCTGGCAAAGAGGGTGGCCAGGAAGGTGACTTGAGGCCTACAGGTACCATATTATCTTTTGCTGTGGGGAAGACCCCATATCCCCAGGTACCCAGGTAGACATTGGGTGTAAGCGTGAGGTGTGTTGGCAACATCCCATGGTGGGTGAGCCCTTGTGCAGTGGTGGAGTGCAAGGTCATGCTTCTCCTGGAGGGGAGTAGCCATTGAACAGTGGGAGCCCTGGATCTGAACACTCTCCTCTCCTCCCCCTGCCTTCCCCCCCCCCCCCCCCCAAACACATGCAAAGGCAGTGTCAGGTATGAAAGCTGTGCCAGGCAGCTGGAAAATGTGTGAGCAGCAGGTGGGATATAGGGCAGCGGGAGAGATGCCTGGATGGGCTAGTCTGGCTCTGCTGGAGCTGTCCTGCAGGGACCTACAGGTCCCTGGGAGCAAAGGGATAAGAATCTTCCAGCCCCTTCCCCTCCCCCTGCAGCCGGCACTCAGCAAAGCCACAAGCCTGAATTATGGATGAGGCTCCTTGGGTTACAGCCGCTCAGTAGCGGGTGGTTTGGGGGGGGGAACTGAGCAGCCCCACAGTCATTGGGCAACTTGGATCCACCCCTAGGGCCAATGGGGCTGTGCCCTTCCCTCTGCTGTCTGTCCCCCTCCCTATGTAGGAGACCCTTGGTGGCCTTTTAGCTGTGCTGGAGTCCTGCCAGCCCTGCCTCTCATCCCTCCCCTGCCAGGATGGCCATCCTTCTGCAAAAGGGTTAAGAGAAGCTTGGGAGTCCATCTGGGTTGGAGCAGAGGGTGGGTCTCTAATCCAGTAGGCTTGGGGGGGTGGGGTGGAGAGGGGGGTTGGAGCTCAGCTGGCTGTATCTGGATCCAGACAACTGGGTGGGGCAGATCTGGGTAGTGATGACATCCCTATCCGAAGGCATGTGTTGCTAGAGTCCTCCAGCTAAAGACGGCTCTGAGCAAGATTAAAAGAGGGGGGGGGGGGAGCCAGGAGCACCCAGCACGGGGAGCTGCAGGTGAGACTTGCTCCACACATGGCAGGAGGACTTGGGGGGGAGGGGGGGATGGGACTGGTGCAAGGCTCTTATGGGGCAATTTTATTGATACCCCAGGGTGAGAGACTGGGTGAGCCATGAACTTTTATCAACATACTAGAGTGAGAGACGGCCTGGTGCAGAGCACTGCAGAAAGAACTTTATGAGCACCTCAGTGTGGCAGACAGGGAGACGAGCCATCCTGGGCCAAAGGAAGAAGACATTTATCAATGCCCCAAACTAGACAGAGTCAGCCAGCAGGGAGCATCCTTTCAGGGTCACCTTCTGATGGGGAATGCTGACTGTCCTGTATCTAGCTGGATGGAGGAGGAGGGGCTGAGCCCCTGGGTTGGAGGGGCTGTCCCAGGAAGTGGCAGTGACTCTCTCCCTGGTATGAAACGGGGGCCCTGCATGTTACCCCCCTCTCTCCCACAGGGAATTGGAGGGCTGCTGGAGCCAAATGCATGGGAGGCAGAGTGGGGGGGCCGGGGAGGGGAGCATGTGCTGAAGCAGTGAGTGGGTAACGAGAGAGTGGGGAGGCGGAGGTGGTGTGAACAACAGGAACGGCAGCAGCTTGTGTCACTTGGTCTCGCGTCAGCCTCCACCTACACACACACGCTGGGGAACACGCGCTCGCACACGGGAGCACACACTCACATGGGGCTGCACGCGAGCCCTCATGGGGAGTGGGTGCACATGTACCCCTGCGCATTTGCTTTGCTGAGATTAGCACGCCAGAGTGTTCCTCGTGCAGGGGGAGGAAATGTACCTGAGCTGCACATGCATGCATTTAGCACACCTGGCCACGCACCTGCTCCTTTGAGGGAGAGAGAGCCATGCCCTGCATGTACAGGCTCTCTACATGTAGAGAACAGCTCCCCTGCTACCTGGGGAGTGGGGGCCTGGGCCTGTCTACATGAGTGGGTGTTGTCCTGCCTAATCTCAATGGGGAGGGGGAGCCTTCTGTTAGACAGGGGTGTATTGTGTCTGCATGGCTGGAGGAAGGGGGTCCTCATGTGCTTGAGAGAATGGGGTGTGGCTCCACCTGGGCAGAAAAGCTGTTGCTCAGTCCTGGTGGGACAGAAAGACCATGATATTGTCCACTGTTGCCTGGTGGAGCTGCCTCCCACTCACCCTGCCTCTTCTTGTCTGCAGGCTGGGTCCCCACGCTCTTCGGCCTTTTTGTGCTGCTGGGGGTCCTGCCCACTGGGGCACCCACCTGCCCCATGCTCTGCACCTGCTACTTCTCGCCACCCACGGTCAGCTGCCAGGCCAACAACTTCTCGTCGGTGCCCCTGGTGCTGCCCCCTAATGCCCAGCGCCTCTTCCTGCAGAACAACCTGATCCGGTCCCTGCGGGCAGGCACCTTTGGGCCCAGCACAGTGACACTGTGGCTCTACTCCAACAACATCTCCTCCATCCAGCCTGGCACTTTCCGTCACCTGCCTGCCCTAGAGGAGCTGGATCTGGGGGACAACCGGAACCTGCGCAGTCTGGAACCAGATGCCTTCCGTGGGCTGGAGCGCCTGCAATCCCTGCACCTCTACCGCTGCCAGCTCAGCAGCCTGCCCAGCACCATCTTTCGTGGCCTCTTCAGCCTCCAGTACCTCTACCTGCAGGAGAACAGCCTTATGTACCTGCAGGTGAGTGGGAAAGGGGAGCAGCAACCCCATGGACCTGAGGCAGGGAGGGGGAGGGGCTTGGCCTATAAGGCCTGCAAGGGAGAAACTTTTTTGATTCCTCTGAAGGAGGGGAAGAGATGTCCAGAACTTTGTTAACACCTTAGAGGACAGGGACATACAAGACACTCCCACAGACAGTGCACAAGTCACCCACAGCCAGGACTCATGCCGGCTTTGAGAGGAGTGAGCTGATTCTTGGGGAAGGGGGATTGACTAGCTGGGCATTAAAGAGCATCAGGAAATGAGATGGGAGGGCCTTTCCCTTCTAAGAGATGCTGTTTCCAATATGGTTTTAGGCTATTGAAGAGCTGGTTGGCTCAGAGAGCTTCGTAGCTGTGGAAGAAGCCCAGGGCTGGTACAGCAGGGGGCTTTTGGTTGAAAGTGAGGAGCACCAACTAGGGGGGTGGGGAGTTGGAGAGACCAGGACAAGAACAGCTTTCAGTGCGTAATAGGGGATTTTGGGGGCATGGTTTAAGGCTCCCCCCGCCCCCCCCCTTCCTCTCCAGGAGCTGGAAGCCCAGCTGCATACTGAACACGGCTGGTGTGCCATTACCTGCCCCCCCACCCCTTCCGCACTCTCCTGCAGTGGCGGGCTGCTCCGTTCTGTGCCAGCCAGCTACTCTCCGACCACAAGCCCATCCGGGCGGGCACTGCGGCTGGCCAACGGCAGGGAGTAGCCCAGCCCTGCAGCCCACACTGGCTGGAGGGGGGAGGGGCAGGACCGGATCATCATTGCTGCAACCCTTCCACCCTATCCACTGCCTGGGGGGAGGGGAGATTGGCTTAACCTTAAGGGCTCTATCCCACCTGCCTGCCTCACTCCCTCAGGATGACCTGTTTGTGGACCTGGCCAACCTGAGCCACCTCTTCCTGCATGGCAACAAGATCCGGCTGCTGTCGGAGAACGTCTTCCGAGGACTGTGGGGCCTGGACCGGCTGCTGCTGCATGTCAACAGGCTGCACTCGGTGCACCGCTGGGCCTTCCGTGATCTGGCCAAGCTCACCATCCTCTATCTCTTCAACAATAGCCTGGCTGTGCTGCCAGGGGAGACACTGGCTGACCTGCCCTCCCTGGAGTTCCTGCGCCTCAACAATAACCCCTGGGCCTGTGACTGCCGTGCCCACTCTCTCTGGGCCTGGTTCCAGCGCACCCGGGTCTCTAGCTCAGACGTGACCTGTACCAGCCCCGCTGAGCACCGGGGCCGTGACCTGAGGCGCCTCAGCCAGGCTGATTTCGGGGCCTGCCCCCCTGCCAACCATAATCATGCCCCTGCCCGGCCTGCCCCAGGTACCAAGCCCAAGTGGGGTGGGGAGGCTGTGGCTGGACGTCCCCGAGGCAATGGTTCCTCCAACCACCTGTATGGGCTGGGGGAGGTTGGGGCACCCCCAGCTGACCCCTCCTCTTTCTACCGGGACCTGCCGGCCAATGATATCCGCAGCCCCAAGTACGACTCTCCCACTGAGGATGACTACTGGAATGGCTACGGCAATGAAGAGGGGCGCCTCAAGGAGGGTTGCACAGGTGCAGCCTGCTCCCCACTGGACTCTGAGGCCTATCGGCCGGGTGTGCTGCCCACAGCCCTGTTCTGCCTAATGCTGCTGCTGCGGTCCCTCTGGCTCTGACTGGCCCCTGGCAGACTTCTGCGGACTAAGGAGACAGTGCATGCAGGGCTGGGGCATAGGCCCCTATCAGTTGACTGAGAGAGCAGAGGGTTGGGTGCACTTGCAGAACTCATTGGGTGAACTGCTCTCCCTAGGGCACATGCTGTTGCTGCTTGGATGGGGATTGGATGAGCCAGGGAATCCTTTCCTTGCCCCTGTCCCCCATACCTATCAGGGGGCCCTGAGATGCCTACATGCTGTGGGACCAGCATGTTCCATCTAATACTCCCCCACATATCCTAGGGGCCTCCCCATTTCACATCCTTACACTGGTTGTCCTCATTAATGCTGGTGCAGGCTGTACTCTTCCCCCCACCCCGAGATGGGCAAGGGAGATAAAGGTCCCCTGCCCCAGGGGGAAGAGGCTCTAGGTTGGAGGTGAGGCAAGGTCTAGCTGCCCTCTACCATCTTTTTTTCCTTGCCTGCAAAGGGTGCTAAAGCCCAATCTGTTGAGGTGAGGGGGGGATATGGGAAGAAGTAGTGTCCCTTCACCTACCCTATATGCTATCCTGCCTCTTTTTTCCCCTTCTCCCCCACCCCTACACATACAAAGGAGAATTCCAGAGTGGCCTCCTTCTGGAGAGGGAGGGAGCATCATCCCCCTCTGATTCAACTTACCCTACCCACCCTGGTGTGTCAGGAGGGCTGGCAATGGCCTGTGAGACTTTGAGGCCCCTATCATCCTACCCCTCACTTGTCCCCAGCTCCTACACTCTGCAGCCCTGAGCCCATGGTCTCCCTGCAGGCACTATGTTCCTGTGCTGAACATTTCTTTTTGCTCCCCTCCCTCTTCCTAAGAAGCAAAAAAGGAGAAAAAAGGTTGGAAAATTATTTATTAAAAATTATATTATTTTAGGACAGTTTGTCAGACTTAGTCACTGGGCGGCAGAAGGTCAGCAGGTGCTTTGGCAGGGACAAGGAGCTCAGCTCCTAAGAGCATTCATCTTCAGGCTATGGGTGGCTTAAAGCTGGATGACCTTTCCTTGCAGTGAAAGGGTTAAATGCACAATTCCTTCCACCCCTACCTGGGTCTCCCAAAGGTTGAGGCACAAGATAGTGGCTGGCCCATGTGGGCTGACTCCACCATCTTTCTGGCAGTAGTCTCGTCATGACTCCGCCTCAGCTTTAAGTTAAAAGCCACTAAAGGCCCATACTTCTTGATATGAACCATGGTTTGGAAAGATATGCGTTGTCTATGTGTGCCCTTGCCCATGGTGACAGACCCGAGCTCTCATGTCTTTGACTTCAAAAGCCATTTGAGACCTAGGAAACTTCTCCAGGGCAGTGTGATCTGCACTTTGTCAAAACAAAGTTTTTGCTCAGGAGCCTAGTGGTGGTTGTGATTTGCCTTGCTACTACAGTTTCTCCAAGAAGGCAGGACTCCCTGCTTCAGCAAAACAGTGTAACTCTAAAATCTAGTGATAGTTGGAGAACAACCCTGCCATGAACCCGTTGGCTGTTGTTTAAAACACAGGAGGCACATTGAGGGGCACTCTGCACTATTTTCCATTTGGTGTGTCATTAATGTTGGTGAGGGACTGTGGCAGTGTCAGGGTTCTGGGTGCTGGGTTGTGGGGCAAGCTTGGCTGCTAGGGGCAGGTTTATGGGAAAAGTAGTGAGGGCAGGGCAGCATCAGAGGTTGAAAGTGAAAAGGGCAGGGTGGGGGAGTATGGGTAGGGACAGGCCTGAAGAGACTGTCAGGAAGGGAGGGGGAGTCATATCTGATGGTGGTTGTCTGTACTTCAGATGGGGAGACTGGATTCATTGTTGGAGGGAGGTAGGAGTCTGTTTGTTGCTGGCATCAGCTGCAGGCCAAGGCTTAGAGCTGGCTTGGGGGAGGTGGAGATAACTGGTGCTGGAGATGAGCTCAGGTTAGGGGTTGGGATGGGCTGGGGCTAGGGCCAGTTGCTGGTGTCAGGGAGTTGTCTAGGTCAGGGTTGAGGGTGAAGTTAGTCACAGGCACCAGGTGTGAAGCTAGGGATGGTCAGGGTTAAAGTAGGGG